CCCAATTATTTTTTTTTAAATTCAATTTACTAACATCAATATTCTTAATATAATCAAATAATTATCCTAACTTTAATCACTATTCAATCAACTCACAATCATTTTAGGTATCTATCACTTCCTATCATTTTTATCTTATTTTTATATCAAATCAATTTTAGTCCTTTTTATTTTAAATATTATGTTAAAATTAACTATAATTAATAATAAAATTAATCAAAACTCAATTATACGTATATCAAACTCAATTATACGTATACCAAGAAGAGAGAAGGTGAGCAAAAGCGGTAGTTTATATGACCCAAAAAGAGAGAAGGTGAGGACCCCGATAACGCGGACGGCGGACCTATACGGCTAGACCAATCACAGGAGTAACATATTATTTTTAATTGGTATCTTGAATTCAAGTAAAATTGCATTTCAATGATGTTTTATTTTTATTTTTATCTATGGTAAAAAGAAAAAAATATCAATGTAACATATTTGGCGAAAATTTATTTCGTAATTGGGAGGGGTTGAACATTACCTCACCAATCCATAAAAAAGAAATATGACAGTTTTACTTTTTTCTCTACTTACATTTTTAATATTATTTTGAAATTAAAATTAAATCATCACTGTACATTTACCTATAATAAATTCGATTATATATTTATAACTAACAATCATCACTTTATTATTTTGCTATTATATTATGTACTTATTAATCTTTTATGTAATACATTTTTATCTAATAATTCCTTCATCAAACAATTTTTCGTTTTGACAAAATAGAACATATCCAACTCCAATTGCGTGGCTTCGGTGAAATTAAACCCACCGATGTCAAAAGCTGACATCACTTTACCACGTGTCGAATTTTCATTGGTTGAGTGACCACCTTTCCCCAATATCTAGCTTCTCCGTTACGATTCAATATATTCCCCATTATACCCTCCAAAATTAATCATTTAAATCAAAATAAATAAATTTAGTATTATATTAAAATCCAAATAATAACATGAATTGTGATGTAAGTATGCAAACATGAATATCCAAACAATACTTGCAAAAATGTGAAGTAAATATCCAAACATGAATATCGAACAATAATGCTCATAATTTATTATGCATATCGACATTTATATCAATTTATTTTAATTCTTAATTTTTGTTGGAAAAATCTCTTACAAATAAAATTTGATTTTTTTTATAATTTAGCTTGAAAATAATGCAAAATAACATATCACATAATTTATTTAGCACAATGTGAAATTTCAAATAATATACCACGATTTCAACCAAAATCACGCTATATTTGAAGCTATCCTATTTAACCTTAGAAAAGCATAAATGGGAATTATTATTTTTTAAATAAAACTGTAATATCTCAAAGCACTTTTTTACTCTCTTTTATTTTTTTATTTTTATTTTTTATTTTTTATTTTTTCCCCCAATTTTAGATTTCTCCCTATTTGGGCTAAATAGGCATTTCACATTTCACACGGTATATACACCGGATTTGAACGCGCTCACAGTAGTTGCTTTCACTTTCTCAGAAAATTCCTCTCCATGAGAAAAATTATCTTCTTCAAAGAATTTCCATGAATCCCAGCTTAATCTTTTTCGGCTAGGGTTTCATCTGTCTTATAAATTTTACCTTCACTTACTTTTTTTGCTTTAACAGCCTTTTTTTTAACTTTTGGAAAAGTAGCTTGATCGGTAATGGCTGTGCTTCCGGTGAAGGCTTTGCCGGTCGGATACAGATTCCGGCCGACGGACGAGGAGCTGATAGACCATTATTTGAGGAACAAAATCAATAGGCGTGATAAGGAAGTCAGTGTGATTCGTGAAATTGATATTTGCAAGCAGGAGCCCTGGGATTTACCTCGTAACTTTCTCTTATTCCATGTCCTCAATCTTGTTTATGTTTTTTTTTTTTTTTTTTNTTTGATTGCTGATTGGTTTGTGTCTGTGTGTGGTTCAGATTAGCCGTTCCTTTTTAAAAAGAAAAAGAAAAAAATTGGACCCTCTTTTCGCTGTGATTGCCTTGCATCAAGTGTTGCTGGTACTATGTGGATCTGGGATCTATTGGGGCTTTTGTTTGGAAAAGATCGTTAATTCATTTTACTTTCTTGAATTAAGTTTAATGCATGAGTGTTATTGTCGCGGGTCATCTTCACGAGTTTTATTGTGTGAGAATTGGTAGAACTGAGTGTCTCAAAACTAATTGTAACTTTTTGTAAGAAACTGGAATATGCATAATTCTCTATTAGTAGTTTATGAGGTCTATATTTAGATTTGGCTCGAGAATTAAGGGTAGTGAGACAGGGTATTTCAATTTTACTCATTAATAATGATCTAATAGAATCACTTCTGGTTAGCCTTTTGGAATCTGGGTTTGTTATGAATCTTCATAATGTGCAGGAAGTTCTAATTCTCAATGTTTTTTCTTGGCAGATTTGTCCGTGGTAGAGTCTCACGACAATGAGTGGTTCTTCTTCTGCCCAAAGGATAGGAAGTATCAAAACGGTCAGAGATTGAATAGAGCAACAGAAAAGGGTTACTGGAAAGCCACTGGTAAAGATAGAACCATAAAATCCCGAAAGGGTAAAATCGGAATGAAGAAGACTTTGGTTTTCTACATTGGTCGTGCGCCCGATGGCAAGAGGACACCCTGGGTGATACACGAGTATCGTGCGACTGATAAGTCACTTGATGGCACACATCCTGGTCAGGTTGGGATTTCACTTGGCATTTTCTATGCAGAAATGTAGATTTTAAGCAATCCTTTGGGGATGTTTTGTTCTAGTATGCAGCAGTTGCATAACATATTATTTCACCTTATGTGTTGCTCTTTGAGCGTTAAGTAATGTTCAACTACACGTGAGTGAAAGGATGGGGAAATTTAACAGAGTAACTGGATTAAAACATGAGTTAGTTTAAACATGAGATTTGTACTGAAAATGTGGCATTAGATTCTTTTGTGTGCTTGAAGAAGATGTTGTGTTATCCATATTTAGTTCTTTGCCTAGCGCGGCTAAAATTCTGGCCTTTTCTTTTACTTTTTAACGACCAATATTTTCTGAGTGCATCAGGATTGAAATTTTGGACTTTATATAGGTTGCGATTGGTCATGAAAATTTTTATGGTGGTGACATTTTTTGAAAGAAAAATTTGAAATTTGAAATGTGGAGTACTAGTTTGTTATTGATTTAATCGGTATGAATTGCGTGGTTTCTTAATTTCTGATTGATGCTTCTCTTTTACATAGGGTTCATATGTGCTCTGCCGCCTGTTCAAAAAGCCTGATCTGAAAAAAGATGAAGACGGTGAACATTCAAACATGAATGAAGTTGATGAGATTCCCGTGTCTCCTAGTGAATTTAAATTCTCAGCTGAAGACGAACAATCAGAGTCAGTTACTCATATCTTCAGTGGTTCCACCGGAATGCAACTTTCCAGTGTCGAAAGCCGCACTACTTTTGATTCCAAGAAAGATGTTGTCGTGACGCCTTTGCCTATTGACTTGCATGTGAATAGCTGTGTTGCTGATGAGATGGAGAACAATGTGTTGGACACAACGTCAATTCAGGTAGGTGAAAGAACTTGGAAACCAAAGTTTTACTGTGGAAATTTTCCCATTCCAATTTACAATTTTTGGTCCTAAAAACGGATGGTTCAAAAGTTCTTGATTTTCCTATAGCTAATGATTTTTTGAAGTGCTATTTTAAATGGATTCTAGTGATTTGTTTTAAATTGTAGTTAAAGTTTTCATTTAGATTTTCCCATGGTCGCGATAAAAGTTGTTTGTTTGTTTATAGTTTCCTTGAAAAAGCAAAACGGCAGGAAAGGTACAGTTCGTTTCTCAAATCAGACATATTTTCATTTTATAAATCTTTTGGAAATCGGAAAAATGAAAATGGTAACAATCCCATACAAGGTAATTTCTTTCCATAAGTATTTATTTATTTATTTGCTGTTTTTTTTTTTTTGGGTTCAGTCTAATGCAGATCTGGAAAAAATGTTGGCGGACTTTTGTCACCCCATGCAGCAAACAATATTCTCTCCTCTGTACTCACAGATGCAATCGGAGCTTGGAAATCCATACGTGTACGATGGCTTTACTGGTGACATTAACCATAGCCAGCAAAATATCCCTTTCCAATATGGATCTAATGCCACTGCTGACATTACTGAGTTCTTGAACTCGGTGCTTATTGAACCCGAGGGTCAGGGTTTTGAGGAAAGCTTCTCAATGTTTCCCCTTGAGAGTACTAAGCTCCAATTGGCAAAAGACAGTAACTCAAGCTGTGAATCAGAGGGTGAGGTGTGGCAAGATCAGGTAAAAATGGAACCATTTTGTTTTCAAACAGTGAACAAAAAATGGATGAAAAAAAGTGATTTTCAGCTTGTAAAGGAGAAATACCTTAAATTTTATTTGACTTGACTAAATTTGATTTGTTTTCAGTTTGATGCACGATGTCTAATGAACCATGAGGTGATTGAGGAAAACAGCAACCAAGAGTCATCTCCTTTTCAGAGTGAAGTTACTTTCGATACCGATAGCTATGACCATGGGAACTTGGGTACTGCTGCCAATCATATCCCTAATAATTTGCCAAATATTGAAAAAACTGGTGATTACAGCCCTGCTATTGGGGACCGTGGTTCTGGCACTGGAATTGTTATTATGGCTCGCCAGAATATTAATCAACCTACTGCCCAGAACTTGGCTGACCAAGGAACTGCACCTAGAAGAATTCGCCTGCAGAAGAAGTTTCAAGTGGGGCCCGTGCAGTGCAGCCTTCCTAAAGAGTCGACTGATGGTGAAATTATAACCCGTGAACCCGATCCTACTGAGGTGAGAGATTTTTTTTTTTTAAATTAGGAAAATAATCGTTTTTTTTTTCCTATGCAGAAATCCAAACAATACCTAACTTGAAGAGTTAAGGTCATCCAGCGATAAACCAAAAACTCGAGTTTCGAGCATGACATTATTGAATACTACATGAATAAAATCTTGAATCGAACAAATAGACCTTGAGTTAATTGAGCAATGCATATAGGATTGTTTCCCGTGCACAAAAGATCTCGAACATTTACAACAAATAGTTTTGAAGGAACTCGAATTATCTCAAACATTGTCTGTATAGTAATTAGTAATCAAACTCGAGCTAAAAAATGTCCGCATTTTATTATTCCATGGGTATATCAATCAATCAACAAGAATGTGAATTAATCCGTTTTTTCTGCAGGACAAGAGAGTAGCTGAGGTACATAATCCAGACGAATTGAAGAAATCAAGCTCTGAAGAGGAGATTAAAGTCGAACAACCTCATGATTCAGCCACACGTGACAGTGCACGAGATGATCAACATGACAATGTTGATGCTCCTTTGGCCAGCTCGAAACGCTTATCAACATCTTTAGTGTCAGCTTCTTTGTACATGCCTAAAGTATTTGTGGCCATTAGTCTTGTAACCATGTTAGTCGGCATATGGGCTTATTTCGTGTTTTAACTATATAACAACTAGGAAAGGTAAGTATTATTTTATTTTATTTTCTTCTCTAGGTCTTTTTAGACTGTTTTTTTTTTTTCCTGGTTTTTTNAAAGAAGTGTAACTGGAGAATTGATCATTTTAATGTAAAGTAATGTGATGTAAAGAATAATAATTAAATTTTGATAGCTGAAATATATGAGGTGGATACTAGATTTTATTAGGTAAAATGTATAGTAATAATTATTTTTTAGTGTAAAAAAATTAAAAAAGTAAAATCGATGGATAGCTATTTTATGTTATTGGATGAACAGAAAAATAAAAAGATTTTGGGGTGAGAGAGGCTCGAACTCTCGACCTCAGGATTTCTCTTAAGCTATGAGACCTACGCGCTAGCCAACTGCGCCACCACCCCGTTAATATTATTTATCCACGTAATCTTACATCATCTCTCTTTGAAGAATTTACCGATCGCTTGTACTGCATAGATTATCAGCTCAACCCGCAAAAGGAAAAGATTGGTTAATCTCGATATGGAGGAAAATCAAGAAGAAACCCAGAACTCAGTTTTCAAGAATTCAACACCAGCGCCCTTGTTGGCCATCAGCTAGATAAGCTCGGGATTTTGCGAGCATCCATTTGCCAGAGAACGGGTTTGGTTGCTCGATTCGGATCGGTATTACCGCTCGCTGTTGCTCCGCTTGCTGATATGGACATTCTCCCCTTGCAGGTCTGTCTTTGACTATTTCGCATATCGGGTGTAGGAGAAAATTGAAGTTTTTTGGTTAATAAATTTGTCGTATCAGGGAAAAGATTGTATTTTTATTAGATTTTCTTTGGATGGCAGATGATTTTTTATTTTTGTTGTTGTATATATGATGAAGATGGTGTTTGTTTTGGTTTTGTATCCGTCTAGCTTCTTGGTTCAGCTAAGTTGCTCAGTGAAAGAAAGGGCATACTTAAGTTTAGTTTTGCTTACTTTTGTTGTTGGAGAATGTTGAATTTGTCTTCAGCTTGGCTTTGTTGCTTTTGGTTTGTTTGCTCGTGTTTGCTAGTTCTTGAATTTGACATTGAGTTATCTGTATATTAGATAAGTAGTGATTCAAGGTGTTAGAATATTACTTGTGAGTTCTCGCACTTCGTTCAGACATGAAAAATAGACCCACTTTATAAGTCATGGTGCGGTTTTATGTTAGTAGGACTGCACCAGTTTTCCCCAAGTTTCTTTCATGGTATCAGAGCTGGGTGCCCTGATGCTGAAAAAAATTGTCTTGCTGGTGGGGAGAAAAGGAGGATGATGAATTTGTAAACAATTGAAACATAGTCAGAGTTTACTGATCCGAACCTAAAGTACGTTTACTATATGTTTACCTTTGATCCCTTTCTCTGCAAAATTGTCTTGCCTTGTTACTTCATTAATTGAGGTGATGATTTGCACATGCATCCAAAAGATATGAAGCAAGTGACAAGAGTACACAGAACAAGAAAGAATGAAGTCAGAATATTCATTCTCTTTCTCTCTCTCAAAGAGATAAAAATGGGTTTTCCTAATATTATTAATTCGTTGCCTTGATTATATGATAATCTGTTGGATAATCAAGGAAATTGCAAGGCTTTTATTTCAATCTGTTGCATCTTTCATGATACGAAAACTCGAGGCTATTTTTGGCTGGCACGTCGGTTTTCAAGAACCCACCGAAAGCTCGTTTCTTGAGAAGTTGATCCCCTCAGTAGACTCAAGTATGTCATGGGCTACTTTTTTTTTTTCTTTTTTTCACCTAGTGCTTTGCATTGCCCGTTTCTTGTTTAGTTTGAGTTAGCATTGTTTTAACAGATGCCGGAATGAAGTAGTTCTGCATAGAACTGTTTTTTTTTTCATGATATTCAATCAAATACGACTTTTCTTTCATGATTCCACAAAGGTTGTGTAGGAACAGAATTCATGAGGGTATTTTGTCTAATATATATGTCAATTTAAAAACAGACCTAAACAAGAAATCATGGACATGTTTTGATTTTACTTTCTCATTTTGATTATTCATAATGTCTGAGGCTGTTCCTTGTATTTTCTTTTTGTGAGCTAACTGGGATTCTTTCAGGAGATCAACCTAAAACTAAAAATGCAAAGCACAAGTCGACAGGAAAGACGATTATTTCCCTCCGTATTCAGTGACTGCGAACGATGAGAAGTTGCACAGGCACGTGTGGACAGCTGGCAGCCTCCTATTGGACCAAGGGAACATGAGTGACCTGCAAAGGATATTCTTGGGGATTATGTTCAGTATTTGGATTAGAAACGAGAAAATCTGGGCCGTCCATCCTCACCACTCGCCGTACTTTTTTCCTTGACGAAAATGCCCTTTTGTACGCGATTCTTGCTGAGTTATAGTTGGTTGTTCCTTTATTCTTTTTCAAAAAAAATTTTCCCTTTCTTCAATCAAAGAGAAAAAAGTGCTTTGGGTGTTTTTGAAGTTACAAATTTTTTCCATGCATTCTGCTTGTTAGAATGTTAGATCAAGTGAACTTTTGTTTTTCGTTTCTTTTACTTTTTTCCTTTTCAAGTTATTGCAATTTTTATATGCACAGAGAACTTGATTTTCCTGAGAAGACAATTATCTTGTGAAACACTCATATGATGCCAGAAATACATGGAGATCCATGCTTTCTCCTTATAGTCAATGCACATATAACTTACAATTCATGTACAAATGCATTTTTTTTTTTTTTTTTTTTTTTNTTTCCCATAATATATATTTTGACTAAATAAATAAATAAAATCAAATATACAATGTAAGTGCGTGCCTATGGCAAACCAGGTTGTGCGTGGGATTTCACAACAATAAATTCACTTTTGAAGACACCTTTTGTCCAAAAGCTCACATTCCCAGCTGGAAAAGCAAGCCAATTAGGCCTGATTCTAAATTTCCATTCCATGAAGATATCTAAAAGAAAAGAATATTTGGTGGGACTTTAAAATTTTGTGAATTAATTTAGATTTTTTAATACTTTTAAAAGTCTTGAAGAATTCATTTAAGATTTGAAAGACCCTTAACAAATCAGGAGTTTTTAAACTTATTTAAATAAAACTCTTATAAGAAATCTCACTTAAAATTTTACCTCCTAACTTATTTCTAAAGAATCTTTTTAAAACTCAAAATCTTACAAAGTCGCAAGTCTGTTAAAAGGTGTTTAAAATGTCTCTTAAAATCCCTAACTGTAAAAATAACTATGAGTCAATCTGTTTTATTAGGTTTCGTTTATTAGCTGGCTTACCTAATTATATGTTGACAAAATTTAAATTGTTGATTTCGTCTTCAGTTTGTTAATGTAGCATGACTCAAATAACCATGTAATTAAAAAAAAAAATACCATCCTTAGCTCACAGAATCTAATCACCTTACAGTTTTTGACATGCCAACTGCCAAACTAATTGATATCAATTTTCACATTGACCAACAGTTGAAAATCATAAAAATGTTGTACATGAAGTGAAAGAACGTTAAGCAACAAAAAGGGGGGCGGTTAAGCTTTAATTTTGCTTTTTTAGAACAAGACAGATCTAAAGCTATATGTTCCTAATCAAGTGCTGCTTAACCAACTTTTCTTGTAAAGAAAGATGCCATCCTAATTAAATTCCATTCCCCACAAGAATCTCTAATCAAATCTTAACCAAACATCATAAATTCATAATTCTAGATTAAGACAACACTTTTTCTATTGCAATTCAAAGAATATGATCAACTTTGTTAGCAAATGGGGTCAACTCAATAAAATTAGGGTTCTTAATAACCTCACTTTTATCGGAAAATTTGTGCTTAATTACGTATGAGGGCAGTGCCTCCATCGAGCCATTGGATCATAGTTCAAATTTAACTCAATTAAAAAGAAAATCAATCAAAACTCAAATTTAACTCTATTAGAATATAAGCCTAGTAGGTTACTCCTCCTACTACTAATTGATTTTGAGATGGAATCTCACTATGGTGCATCTAGACTCACCTTCTTATGGTGCGCTTCATGTGCATAGCGCCGTGCCCATTTTTCTTCAGTTTTTTTGTCAAACTCAACTTAAATTTAACCACATTGTCTTAGTGTTCTCAATATTATCAATTTAATTAAATAATATCAATCGATCATACAATTTTTATTCACTATTCGTACACTCGCATAATTTTAACCGATCACCATTTCACATCATATCTCTCATGCTTTACATCAAATCAATTTTAATTATTTTATTTCAAATCCTAATTTAATATAATATAAAAATCCCGCTAACAACTATATATAACTATTTTCAAAATTAACTATGCTTGACAAAAAAAAAAATCAAAATCAAATCAAATTCATATCCATCACACCCAAAGTTAATCTTTTTGGGTAATCTTTTTTTAGTAAAAAACCTTCCATTATCTAAGCTACATGATAGCCAATCACATTAAGGCAATATTTTTAGGTATTTACAAGCTGGTTAAGTTCATAATCTCTGTGCTGACTCATTTCCACGCGTGAAAAGGAAAAAGGGTCAAATCCTTGTCACAAATGGTAGAGATGATGTTAAAAGGGTTTTCCAACAATCACAAAGTGACAAATAGGACGATGAGAACTCACCTTTCATGTTTTACCAAATCCAAGTTTGGTCTGATTTTGATGTGAGATGTAAAAAAAGGTAATTGTGGCTAACCTTAGTTGTTTGGTAAGGT